TTGCTGTTTTCCATACACCAACAAGAGTCTTCAATAAAGGTAAAAGTGATTTAAATGTTCATTTCTCCATTTCATTTGTGCTTTATATTTATTTCTCATTGTTTTCTGTATGTAAAACTATAGTTATTTTCTATAAAATGTATTTTTTGTTAATATTTTTGAGTGTCTGGAATGGATTAATTGGATTTACATTATTTCTTATGGGAAATACTGCCTCAGTTTTCGTCGAATTCGGTTTTTGTCAGACACACTGGAACAGATTAAAGACAAAAACTGAGGTTCCACTTTATTAGTAAGTGCTTACCAATTTATTAAAATGGCATTGCTTTTCATGAATTATCTGGAGTACACCTCTCTGAATGGCTTCAATCTTTAATGTTTGATGTATCATATGAAAATGCATTAAGAGTTAGGCCAAGTAGGAGCAAATTTGACAATTTACTAACAGTTGTTAAATGGGAGAATGAATCTTCTGGGTGACATCAAATTTTTAGCACTGATGTTTGCTCCTCAAAGGAACATATTATTTAAGTTTTTATGTGTAAAGTTTATTTAAAAAAATTATTTACATGTAAATTGGAGAATGCCTCTCCTGATTAGCTTTAACTTGAAACACTGGTGTATTTTACATTGGTATTGCATTGGTGCCAACTTGCTGTTTTTACTGAAGAAATAGTACAATAAAGTAAGTGCTGGTATTCATGTGATAATTTGTGAAAGCCACTTCTGGTGCACTTCAGATCTGTACTGCTGATATTTAACCATGTTACAAACTTATGTGGTACTCTGTACTATTCCTTTTGTATGCACTAAGGTACATGGGGCTGAGCTTATGGTATATGGGGATACTTTTCTTAGATTGCACAGCAACTGAAACAAATTATTAATTTGTATTTTATTAACACATCAGCCATTTCCCACCAAGGTAGGGTGGCCCGAAAAAGAAAAATTTTCATCATTCACTCCATCACTGTCTTGCCAGAGGTTCACTTACACTACAGTTATAAAACTGCAACATTAACACCCCTCCTTCAGAGTGCCACCACTGTACTTCGCATCTCCCATCTAGTTGTGAATTGTTCTACTTACCATACTATGACTTAAATTCTACAATTTTACTTTTCATAAGTAGATTGAATGAGTGAAGAATGCAACACGGCAGGATGGGAGGGGGAAGGATTTCTCTACAGTATGTACTCGGTGCATTGCTGCACTCACAACCATTCCTAGGTCTCCCCCCCCCCCTCCAAAGGAACATTACTTTTGCATGAAGTTACACTCTTAAAAGCTCATACAATAAAACAGCTTCATGTGAAATTCATTCGTAAGATTAGGGGCACATCCTCTCACTTGCAAATATGAAACTGTGAGCTACTGTCTTCTTCCATAGAGAGCCAAAATTTTGTAGATTAAAATTCTTTCAGTTTCTGCTCTATAATATAGAGTAACAATAATATACAATAGTAATAATAATGCCTAAAACCTCTAACAATATTCAATAATTCAATGCTAATTATAAACCTGCAGCTAAACCAAGGAATATAATGCATTTATTAATATATATTATGTTAATAAAAGACTATCATTTACTTTGCCATTTGGCTATGTGCTCACTCATTGATTACTCATTCTTTTGTTTTCTTAAATTATCTTTATACTTTACTCATTAAGAAAACTTCACACCTAAAGGAAGTTGTAAGGGCAGAAATAAACAAGGACAGCTTACAACCAAGTTCTCATAGGCAGGGAGGGAGCCAGAGTGTACTTTCCCCATACCCTTAATGCACCAGCCACAGGAAATATTCTAAGAGAGAATTAATTGAATGGATTATTTACCCAACACTGTATTTTCCAAGAACATAACCTCTTCAGTCACAAAGGCTCCAAGGTATATACTGTACAGTATATAGTGCATGCACAGTACAGGTACTGCATAAGAAATGTATAAAGTTTTATAGTGTTGCAGGCTGTTAGAACACAATAGGAAAAAACAGGAAAATTATAAGTAAGAAATAAACACACAAACGAGTAATTTTACTACCGTAGTTTGGCAAAAATAAAAAAAAAGGATTGTACAAGTGAAATGTGTTAAGAGGGTTGGTTCATTACATGTTCTACTAGGTATTTAAAAGATCAATACTCAACATCACTAAAAATTAACATACAACCTGAACCTTTGCTCTCAAATGTGCTTACACCTATAAATTCCTGAAATAAACATGAAAAATTATCTTAAAATTCAAGAAAAAATAAATTTAAGAAACTTCAAAAACAAACAAACAAAAAAAAAAAATACTAAAATACTAATAAAAACACTGCTCATGTGAGCAGCATCATAGCTCTTCTAGAGGCCAAACACTGTATTAGCAAAATGTTATTAGCATTAATGAGTAAGATAAGTGATGTGTAACTCATAAAACTTTTGATACTTGAATGCCAGAAAATTTAAATCTTGGTTAGCATATTTAAAAAAGCGTAAGTAAACATAAATAATTTTTTTTTTTTCAACAAGTCGGCCGTCTCCCACCGAGGCAGGGTGACCCAAAAAAGAAAGAAAATCCCCAAAAAGAAAATACTTAAATCATCATTCAACACTTTCACCACACTCACACATTATCACTGTTTTTGCAGAGGTGCTCAGAATACAGCAGTTTAGAAGCATATATATATAAAGATACACAACATATCCCTCCAAACTGCCAATATCTCAAACCCCTCCTTTAAAGTGCAGGCATTGTACTTCCCATTTCCAGGACTCAAGTCTGACTATATGAAAATAACCGGTTTCCCTGAATCCCATCACTAAATATTACCCTGCTCACACTCCAACAGACCGTCAGGTCCCAAGTACCATTCGTTTCCATTCACTCCTATCTAACACGCTCACGCACGCTTGCTGGAAGTCCAAGCCCCTCGCCCACAAAACCTTCTTTACCCTCTCTCTCCAACCCTTTTGAGGACGACCCCTACCCCGCCTTCCTTCCCCTATAGATTTATATGCTTTCCATGTCATTGTACTTCGATCCATTCTCTCTAAATGATCAAACCACCTCAACAACCCCTCTTCTGCCATCTGACTAATACTTTTATTAACTCCACACCTTTTCCTAATTTCCACACTCCGAATTTTCTGCATAATATTTACACCACACATTGCCCTTAAACAGGACATCTCCACTGCCTCCAACCGTCTCCTCGCTGCTGCATTTACCACCCAAGCTTCACACCCATATAAGAGTGTTGGTACTACTATACTTTCATACATTTCCTTCTTTGCCTCCATAGATAACGTTTTTTGACTCCACATATACCTCAACGCACCACTCACCTTTTTTCCCTCATCAATTCTATGATTAACCTCATCCTTCATAAATCCATCCGCCGACACGTCAACTCCCAAGTATCTGAAAACATTCACTTCTTCCATACTCCTCCTCCCAATTTGATATCCAATTTTTCTTTATCTAAATCATTGATACCCTCATCACCTTACTCTTTTCTATGTTCACTTTCAACTTTCTACCTTTACACACATTCCCAAACTCATCCACTAACCTTTGCAATTTTTCTTTAGAATCTCCCATAAGCACAGTATCATCAGCAAAAAGTAACACTGTCAATTCTCATTTTGAATTTGATTCCCCAAAATTTAATCCCACCCCTCTCCTGAACACCCTAGCATTTACTTCCTTTACAACCCCATCTATAAATATATTAAACAACCATGGTGACATTACACATCACTGTCTAAGACCTACTTTTACTGGGAAGTAGTCTCCCTCTCTTCTACACACCCTAACCTGAGCCTCACTATCCTCATAAAAACTCTTTACAGCATTTAATAACTTACCACCTATTCCATATACTTGCAACATCTGCCACATTGCTCCTCTATCCACTCTATCAAATGCCTTTTCTAAATCCATAAATGCAATAAAAACTTCCCAACCTTTATCTAAATACTGTTCACATATATGCTTCAATGTAAACACTTGATCTACACATCCCCTACCCACTCTGAAACCTCCTTGCTCATCCGCAATCCTACATTCTGTCTTACCTCTAATTCTTTCAATTATAACCCTACCGTACACTTTTCCTGGTATACTCAGTAAACTTATTCCTCTATAATTTTTACAATCTCTTTTGTCCCCTTTCCCTTTATATAAAGGGACTATACACGCTCTCCACCAATCCCTAGGTACTTTCCCCTCTTTCATACATTTATTAAACAAAAATACCAACCACTCCAACACTATATTTCCCCCTGCTTTTAACATTTCTGTCATGATCCCATCAGTTCCAGCTGCTTTACCCCCTTTCATTCTACGTAATGCCTCATGTACCTCCCCCACACTTACATTCTGCTCTTCTTCACTCCTAAAAGATGGTATACCTCCCTGACCAGTGCATGAAATTACCGCCTCTCTTTCTTCCTTAACATTTAAAGTTCCTCAAAATATTCTCGCCATCTACCTAATACCTCCATCTCCCCATCTACTAACTCCCCTACTCTGTTTTTAACTGACAAATCCATACTTTCCCTAGGTTTTCTTAACTTGTTTAACTCACTCCAAAATTTTTTCTTATTTTCATTAAAATTTCTTGACAGTGCCTCTCCCACTCTATCATCTGCTCTCCTTTTGCACTCTCTCACCACTCTCTTCACCTTTCTTTTACTCTCCATATACTCTGCTCTTCTTATAACACTTCTGCTTTGTAAAAACCTCTCATAAGCTACCTTTTTCTCTTTTATCACACCCTTTACTTCATCATTCCACCAATCACTCCTCTTTCCTCCTGCCCCCACCCTCCTATAACCACAAACTTCTGCCCCACATTCTAATACTGCATTTTTAAAACTATTCCAACCCTCTTCAACCCCCCACTACTCATCTTTGCTCTAACCCACCTTTCTGCCAATAGTCGCTTATATCTCACCCGAACTTCCTCCTCCCTTAGTTTATACACTTTCACCTGAAAATAAAGCCCTAACTTACGATGTTAATGCTTTCCTGAAAACTGTAAGACGAATGTTCAGTAGTGGGAACTTGTTTCTCCAGACACACTCGTGTGTTAATCAGATGATTCTTGAGGCATAATACTGAATTCCATACGTAATTGAATTTATAAATCAATTTATGAATTTATAAAATGTTTAATACTAAATTTAAAACTACTGTACACATACAGCAGTTCTTGCTCAATCTCTACAAAATGAAGATGAACTCTCCATATATGCATAAAATTAACAAACATAAAGTACTGTATTAATCCACGAAAAAAACACAAAAAATTATTTATTTGAATATCCGCAATGATGAAAACTGCAGATCAGCATTCGTAAGTACTTTAATTGGTTAAGTGCCACTGCAGTAAGTGCAGAACATCGTAAGTCAGTGCCCAACTATTCAAAAGTGATTAACTGGTTACTATAAATGTCATGTCTTTATGATAAGTATGACATTAAATAATGTGAAAGAACATTTAGTCATTAAGCCATCTTATTAAACACTAGAGGGCAATGATCATCAGCACTACAGTGAGGCAATCTTCATGTGGACAGTATTCAAGAAGCAGTACTTGGGAAGAACAATATTACTCACGAGTTGCACAATATTTGATCTAGAATGGAGGATATGCTACCACTGAAGTCTTATTGGCATAATAAGCCCAAGATGCCACAAGGATCTGTGTTAGCTCTGATAGTATTTGTAATTTACATTAATGATTTACCAGAAGGAATTAAGAACTATATGAAAATGTTTGCAAGTGATGCAAAAATCCTACACAATAAAAATGGCTGTGTATTCCTAGAGGAAAACCTGAACAGAATGAGCAAATGGAGCAAGAAATAGATGATGAAATTTAATGTGGAGAAGGCCATGTAATAGAAATATAGATAAAATTAAAACAGGCCACACACACACACAGCATAAATTATGTGATAAAATGTTAAAGACATCAGAGAAAGAGAGGGACCTAGCATTACCATTTCTAAGAGACGGTCCCTGGAAAATTACATAAATGAAATAACAAAATACTCTTATGTGACACCAGCCACCTTTAAAATGGGATTTAGCTACGTGGATGGGGAAATGCTACAATGCTGTTCACGATGTACATTTGACCAAAACTGGAATGTGCAGAAGGGGTGTGGTGTGCACACTTAAAAAGATGTGTGAACAAGCTAGAGAAAAAAAAGTTTAGTACAAAAATGGTATACAATACCAAAAAGATGAAGAGTTCGACATGTGCAACATTTGGGTATCTTTATTTGCAAATGTTTTGCCGTCCAGTGGGTTTATCAATACAAATTCAAGGACATAATGGAAAGACTGTAGAACTATATACAAAAGATGAGGTAATCAGTCCCTCAGCCTTGGAGTTGGTGAAGACCATCATAAGCTTGAAGAATCTGAAGCAAACACATGAAGATTGGCGCTTATATACTGGCGTCAGACGAGGGACTTGAAGGAGAAGGTACTGTCACTGGTAGGTGGGGTTTTCCAATGGAACTAAGTCTTACCCAAGGGATGGATCAGGAGTAGGTAATGTTGTGAAAATGTTCTCTGAACCAAGATTCCAAGATGATGATGTCTGACAAGTTGTACAAATAAAGGTACCCAGATGCTGCATATGTGTGCAATTCTTCATCTTGTCAGTATTGTATACCATTCTTGTAAAACATATTGGACACAGCAACATCACAGACTCTTGGTTTAGAGAACATCACAACCTTCTTGCCTACTCCTGGCCCATCCCTTGGGTATGACCTACTTCCACTGAGGAATCCTGACTACCAATGACAATGCCTTTGTCTACTTCACATCCCTCATCTAACTCCAGTATATAAGCACCAATCTTTATGCCTTTGCTTCAAATTCTTCAAGACAACGGTGCTCTTCACCAACTCCAAGACTGAGGAACTTATTACCTCATCTCGTGTATGTACTTCCACGAGTTTTCAATTATGTCCTTGAATTTGCACTGATAAAGCCACTGGATAGCAAAATGTCTACAAATAAAGATACCCAGAGTTGCACATGTGTTTAATTCATAAAAAAAAATATTATCTATGAAATGGCTACCAGTTAAATCATATGAGGTAAAAATAAAGACCAATAAAAGGAAAAGAGGAAACATGATAAGCTCACTGAAGATTATACCTGGAGAGGGTTTTGGGGGTCAATGCCCCTGCAGCCCAGTCTGAGACCAGGCCTCATGGTGGATCAGGGTTTGATCAACCAGGCTGTTACTTCTGGCCACATGTAAACTAACATATGAACCACAGCCTGGCAGGTCAGGTACCGACTTTAGGTGCCTGTCCAGTGCTTTCTTGAAGACAGCCAGGGGTCTACTGGTAATCCCCCTTATGTATGCTGGGAGGCAGTCGAACAGTCTTGGGCCCCGGACACTTAATGTGTTGACTCTCAGTGTACTCGTGATGCCCCTGCTTTTCATTGGGAGAATGTTGCACCTCTTGCTTTCACAGGGAGTGATTATCATGTGCAAGTTTGGTACTAATCCCTCTAGGATTTTCCAAGTGTATATTATCATGTATTTCTCTCACCTGCATTCCAGGGAATACAAATCAAGGGACTTCAACTGTTCCCAGTAATTTTGGTGCTTTATCATACTTATGTATGCCATGAAAGTTCTCTGAACACTCTCCAGGTCAACAATTTTGCTGCCTTACAAAAACATATGAAAGAATTGATAAAGATGATCTCCTAACACCATCAACAAATAGAAGTGTTGGAAGGACAGAAGAAAGTTCTTTATAAACAGTGATGTAGAACAATGTAGCAAGTGCTGCAATTGCTGGAAATACTGTGAATGACAGATTAAATACTGAAGATGAGACACCACCATGTTACTGTATGCTCTTGTGTAGCTACAAGTGACTAAAGAACAAAGTAGCATTAAACTCTGTACAGACTGACTTAGCTGGTGTGCTCTCGCAGTAATGTACAGATATAATAGTGTGTTGTAGTGGAAGTTTGCCATGACATGACTACAAACTGGCTCTCAATAAAAATTTGATCAAATACGTATATACTACTACCTATAGCTAAGTTTTGTTTTCACTTTCACTTTTTTATAGTACAGTTTTGTACTAAGCAACTAAGATCATAATTATTCATACATGAAACTCTCAACAAATTTACCAAGCCAAATGATCAATTATTTTATAATTTAAAAAACCACTAGAGAGAGATCAAAAAAAAAAAAAAGTATTGTAAGGTAATGCAGAACATTTTTTTTATTTTTATTATCACACTGGCCGATTCCCACCAAGGCAGGGTGGCCCGAAAAAGAAAAACTTTCACCATCATTCACTCCACCACTGCCTTGCCAGAAGGGTGCTTTACACTACAGTTTTTAAACTGCAACATTAACACCCCTCCTTCAGAGTGCAGGCACTGTACTTCCCATCTCCAGGACTCAAGTCCGGCCTGCCGTTTCCCTGAACCTCTTCATAAATGTTACTTTGCTCACACTCCAACAGCACGTCAAGTATTAAAAACCATTTGTCTCCATTCACTCCTATCAAACACGCTCACGCATGCCTGCTGGAAGTCCAAGCCCCTCGCACACAAAACCTCCTTTACCCCCTCCCTCCAACCTTTCCTAGGCCGACCCCTACCCCGCCTTCCTTCCACTACAGACTGATATACATGCCGCTTAACGATCACTCAAATGGACCATTGTAAGTGTATTATTAGTGCGTTTACGTGTATTTTGGGGGTCGAATGAACTAATCACTTCACAATATCCTCTATGGGAAAAAATCAGTCAGTATGGTCCCTGAACATACTACTGAATAACAAATTCGTTAACGAGGTCCACTGTACTCTTGAAGTTTACTTTTCACTCATATTCTCTCACATGTCCAACCACTCAACAACCCTTCCTCAGCCCTGCACAACAGTTTTGTAATTTCACCACCTCACTCCTAACGTTCCAAACTACGATTCTCTGCATTATATTCCCCCACTTTGCCTCCAGACATAATACTGCTCCAGCCTTCTCCTCACTGCAACATCATCACCCTTCCACCCATATAAGAGCATTGGTAAAATTTACTCTCATAATCCTTTGCCTCAAGGACAAGTCTTTGTATCACAGACTCTAAGAGCACCTCATTTCCCTCATCATTTATGTTTCCCTCATATGAAATAAGTACTGTACAAAAAGAGACTCAGCAAGTACTTTCTTCCAAGGAAACCCAGGTACAATAACAAGAACTCATCAAACCGACATCAAGTCACAACTTAGGTATATGTATGCTTACTTGACTTCATGCACCAATCTTATGTGCTGTGATGGGAACAGATGATGTGAGCAGGAAAATTGCTCCCCGCATATCCAACTTTCACAAACTGAAATAATTACCAAATTATATTAGCTGTGATAATTTGAAGAGAAGAGCCTATATAACACAAGTGTAATTAGCACACTTTCCAACATCATGAACAGTATAGTACGTACTTTGTTTCTGTTCTCCATGCCAAGTGTCTGAAGCAGAGTGTAACTTACATTTTGGCACCAGTTCACCCACATGTATACAAAAATGAACAGCACCCAAGGTGTTCTTGAAAGCTTTGAGGATTCTTTGTCTGATAATTACATGATATATTTGTTAATGATTCCAGGAATCACTGACCCTGCAGCCTGGTCTCACACCAGGCCTTATATACCAGAAAGCTAATGTTACAGGAAAAAAAAATTACATACCAAGAAACACAGGGGAAATGTTAAGGAAAAAAATTGTAGGATAAGGGGAAAAGGGGAAAGAGAAAAAAATGTGAAGAATGGGGTGAGAGAGTGAGAGAGTGAAAGAGTGAGAAAAGTGATTTTGGGGTGAGAGAGAGAGAGAGGGGAGAGGAGGGGAAAAAGAGAGTGAGGAAGAGGAGGGGAAAGAGAGAGAGAGCAAGAGAGAGGAGAAGAGAGGAGAGCAAGAGAGAGAGGCAAAGAGAGAGGAGCAAAAGAGAGGGGAAAAGGCAAGAGAGGAGAGCAGAGAGGAGAGCAAGAGAAAAGAGAGCAAGAGAGAGAGAGAGCAAGAGAAGAGGGGAACAAGAGAGAGCAAGAGGGAAGAGAGAGGGAGCAAGAGAGAGAGAGAGAGGGGAAAGAGGGGTTTTGAGAGAGGGGGGAGAGAGAGAGAAGAGAGAGAGAGGGGAAGAAAGAGAGATTGAGAGAGAGAGAGTGAGGGGGAGAGAGAGAGGGGAGAGTGAGAGCAAAAGAGAGGGAGAGCAAGAGAGGTGGAGCACGGAGAGATGAGAGAAAGAGGGGTGTGAGAGAAAGAGGGGAGTGAGAGAAAAGAGAGAGGAGAGCAAGGAGATGGAGCAAAAAGAAAATGAGGACCCAAAAAGAGAGTGAGAGCAAGAAGAGTGAGAGAAAAGGGAGTGAGGCAAGAGGAGTGAGGCAAGAGGAGTGGAGCAAGAGAGAGTAAAGAGAAAGGAGAGGGAGAGCAAGGGGAAAAGTGAGAGCAAGAGAGAGTGAGAGCAAGAGAGAGTGGGGAGCAAGGGGAGTGAGAGCAAGAGAGAGTGAGAGCAAGAGAGAGGGAGAGCAAGAGAGAGTGAGGCAAGGAAAATGAGAGCAAGGGGGAGTGGGCAAGAGAGAGTGAGGGGGAAGAGAGAGGAGAGCAAGAGAGAGTGAGAGCAAGAGAGAGTGAGGGGAAGAGAGTGAGGGGCAAGAGAGTGAGAGCAAGAGAGGGTGGAGAAAAGGAAAAGAGGGGTGAGAGAAAGGGGAGAGAGTGAGAGCAAAAAGGAGGGGGGAAAGAGAGAGAGGAAAGAGGAGTGGGGAGTGAGAGAGAGCAAGGGGAAAAGTGGAAGAGGGAGAGAGGAAGAAGAGAAAGAGTGAGAAGAGAGGAGAGGAGAGGGGAATAGAGAGAGAGGGGGAGAGGTGAGAGAGAGAGAGGGGATAAAGGAGAGAGAGAAAAGCAAGTTTTTATACCACAAGACGGGGGGAAAGCAGCAACTTCACTCTGGCGTCCCCTTTTTCCAGAACATCACTTCTCGGGAGTCATTTACCCCCTAGGAGGGATTCAATTTGGGAAAAACTTTCGAAACAGCATTTTTTGAAAAACGAGATAAAGTCAGTTGTCTATAAAATTTGCGGGGCCCAAACGATGGCTCCAACTTCACCCTGTTCTCTACTTGTATTTTTTCATAACAAAAAAAATGTTTTTAAAATTGAGTGATGTAGGAAACAGCATTAGCTTGTAAATAAAGTTAGGAACCCTTAAAATTTGTAAATACAAAAAAAAAGGGTAAAGCAGCAGAGGAAGGGAGGGGGGCCAAAAAGGGAAGGGGAAGGGAGGGGAAGGAGGGGGGGGGGAAGAGGGGAGGGGGGGGGGAAGAGAGAGGGGAAAGGGGGAAAAAGAGAAAAGGGAGGGGGAAAGAGAGAGAAGGGGGGGGAAGGAGAGGAGGGGGGGGAAGGAGAGAAGGGGGGGAAGGGGAAAAGAAGGGGGGGAAAGAGAAAAAAGGAGGGGGAAGAGGAGGAGGAGGGGGAAAAAGAGAGAAGGAGGGGAAGAGAGGAAGGAGGGGGAAGAGAGAGGAGGAGGGGGAAGGGGAAAAGAAGGAGGGGAAGGAGAGGAGGAGGGGGGGGGGGGAGGGAAAGGAGGGAGGGGGGGAAGGGAGAGGAGGAGGGGGGGAAGAGAGAGAAGGAGGGGAAAGAGAGAAAAGGAGGGGGAAGGGAGAGAAGGGGGGGGAAAAGAGAGAGGAGGAGGGGAAAGAGAAAAGGGGGGGGGGAAGAGAGGAAGGAGGGGGGGAAAAGAGAGAAAAAGGAGGGGAAAAAAGAGAGAGAAGGAGGGGGGAAGGAGGGGGGAAAGGGGGGAAGAGAGAGGGGGGGGGGGGAAGAGAAGGGAGGGGGGGAAAGAGAGAAAAGGGGGGGGGAAGAGAGAGGGAAAGGGGAAGAGGGGAGAAGGAAGGGGGGGAAGGGGAAAAAAGGAGGGGGAAGAGAGAGAAGGGGGGAAAAGAGAAAAGGAGGGGGGGAAAAGGAAAAGGGGGAGGGGGGAGAGAGAGGAGGAGGGGGGGGGAAGGAAAAGAGAGGGGGGGGGGAAGAGAGGGGGGGAAAGGGGGGGGAGGAGAAGGAGGGGGAAAAGAGAGAGAAGGGGGGGGGGGAAAAGAGAGAGAAGGGGGGGGAAAAAAAAGAGAGGGAGGAGGGGGAAGAGAGAAAAGGGGGGGGAAGAGGAGAAGGGGGGGGAAAAGAGAGGAGGGGGGGGAAGGGGAGAAAAGGGAAAGGGGGAAAAGAGAGAGGAGGGGGGGAAAGAGTGGAAGGGGGGAAAAAGAGAGAAGGGGGGGGAAAAGAGAGAGGAGGGGGGGGAAAGAGAGGGAGGGGGGGGGGAAAAGGGGGAGGGGGAGGGGGGGAAGAGAGGGGGAGGAGGGGGAAGAGAGAGAAGGGGGGGGGGAAAAGAGAGGAAGGAGGGGGAAAAAAGGGGGGGAAAAAAGGGGGGGGAAGAAGAGAGGAGGGGGGGGAAAGAGGGGAAAAGGGGGGGAAAAAGAGAGGAAGGAGGGGGAAGAGGGGAGGGGGGGGGGAAAAAGAGAGGAGGAGGGGAAAAAGAGAGAAGGGGGGGGAAAGAAAAGAGGAGGGGGGGGGAAGGAGGGGAAAGGGGGGGGAAGAGAGAGAAGGGGGGGAAGAGGGGGGAAGGAGGAGGAAGAGAGAGGGGGGGGAAAAAGAGAGGGGAAGGGGGGGAAAAGAGGGGAAAAGGGGGGGGGAAGAGAGAGGGGGGGGGAAGAAGAGAGAAAGGAGGGGAAGAAGGGGGAGGAGGGGGGGAAAGAGAGAGGAGGGGGGGAAAGAGGAGGGGGGGAAAAGGAGAGGAGGGGGGGAAAAGAAAAGAGGAGGAGGGGAAAAGGAGGAGGGGGAAAAAAAAAGAGAGGAGGGGAAAAGAGAGGGGGGGAAAGAGAGAGGAGGGGGGGGAAAAGGAGGGGGGGAAAAGAGAGAGGAGGGGGGGAAAAGAGAGAGGAGGAGGGGAAGGGAGAGGAGGGGGGGAAAGAGAGAGGAGGGGGAAGAGAGGGGGAGGGGGAAGAGAGAGGAGGAGGGGGAAGAGAAAGAGGAGGGGGAAGAGAAAGGAGGGGGGGAAGGGGAGGAGGGGGGGGAAAAAGAGAGAGAGGGGGAAGAGGGGAAAAAGGGGAGGGGAAGAGAGAGAGGAGGGGGAAAAGAGGAGAGGGGGGGAAAAGAGAGAGGAGGGGGGAGAGAGAGGAGGGGGGGGAGAGGAGGGGGAAAGAAGAGAGGGGGGGGAAGTTTTTAAAGCCAAAAGACGGGCAAAAAAGAAAGAAAACTTCACTTTGCTGAAACCCTTTTTCCAGAACATCACTCCATTGAGTTTCTTCTTTACCCTGGTTGACTGGGAGTATGGAACCCCTTCGTTCAGCAAAATGATGTAAACGGGGAAAACTTTCAGTTGATAAAATGAAATTTGCTCCCCCAAAACGATGGCCCCAACTTCTTTCCTGTTCCCTATTTGTATGTCTAAAACCCAAAAAAAAATGCTTTCAAAGGGAAGCTGATGTGGGTAACAGTTTATTTGGGAATAAAGTTAGGAACCCTTAACCTGAAAATTGCTTGTCAATAAAGTGGGGGGACCCTTTAAACCCTTTGCCCCAAAACTTTTTTAAAAAAAAAAAAAAAAAAAGGAGAGAGGAGGAGGGGGGGGGGAAGAGAGGGGGGGGGGGAAAAAGAGAGAGAGGGGGGGAAAGGGAGGAGGGGGGGGGAAGAGGGAGAGGGGGGGGAAGAGAGAGAGGAGGGGGAAAAAGGAGAGAGGGGGGGAAGGGGAGAGAGGAGGGGGAAGAGAGGGGAGGGGGGGGAAGAGAGAGAGGGGGGGGGAAGAGAAGGAGGAGGGGGAAGAGAGAGAGGGGGGGGAAAAGAGAGAGAGGAGGGGGAAGGGAGAGAGGAGGGGGAAAAGAGAGAGGAGGGGGAAGAGAGAGAGGGGGGGAAGAGAGAGGGAGGGGGGGAAGAGAGGGGGGAGAGGGGAAACACAAGAAAGCTAGTTCGGGTTTGGGGATAGGTCCAAACCTGGTGGCCCCTGGTCAAGGCCCCAAAACAAGGTTATCGGGCCTAAATGAACTCCTTTCCACCTCTAATCGAAGGAGGGGGGAACCACCTCTACTAGTGGGTAAAGAGAAGGGGGACCTTTTTGCCAACACTTTGCCCCCCCCCAAAAAAAGGGTTCCTGACCCAGAAAGGGGGGACCCTCCTTGGTTTGCTCCCAAGAAAACTGTGTAAAAACTGTCAGTGGTGCCCAATAAGGCAGGGGGAAAGGGCCCATTTCTTTTTAAATAGCTTGCCCAGAAAAGGCTTTTGGGCCCGGGACAAGGGGACCCCAAGATTGCTGATTTGTGTGAAACCCCCAGTGGCAGAAACCTCAAAACTCATTTTCTTT